ATCTGCAGCAATCCTTCGGGCAATCCTCGGAGCGGGAGCGGGAGCTGCTCCTGACCCCAAAATCCCACAAAAACCCCGTAAAATCACCCAAAAATCCCCTTTTTCCCTCAGGCGGAGCGGCGGGAGCTGCAGGGATCGCTCGGGGACTCCTCAGAGCGGGAGCAGCAGCTGCTCCTGACCCCAAACCCCCTAAAATCCCCCCAAAATATCTCATTTTGATAGGCGGAGCGGCGGGATCTGCAGGAATCCTTCGGGGACTCCTCAGAGCGAGAGCAGGAGCTGCTCCGAGCCCAAAACCCCCTAAAATCCCCCGAAAATTCCCCCAAAATCCACTTTTTCCCTCAGGCGGAGCGGCGGGAGCTGCAGAAACCGCTCGGGGCTTTCTCGGAGCTCCTGCTCCCGGCCCAGAGATCTCTCCTGGAGGAGGCGGAGCGGGGCCGGGCGCGGCTGCAGCGGGAGCTGCTCCTGACCCCAAAAACCCCTAAAATCCCCCCAAATCCCCCTTTTTCTGCAGGCGGAGCGGCGCGATCTGCAGGAATCCTTCGGGCAATCCTCGGAGCGAGAACAGGAGCTGCTCCTCACCCAAAGATCGCTCGAATCCCGTCTGGAGGAGGCGGAGCGGGGCCGGGCGCGGCTGCAGCGGGAGCTCCTCCTGACCCCAAAACCCCCTAAAATCGCCCCCAAATCCCTTTTTTCCCTCAGGCGGAGCGGCGCGATCTGCAGGAATCCTTCGGGCAATCCTCGGAGCGGGAGCAGGAGCTGCTCCTCACCCAAAGATCGCTGGAATCGCGGCTGGAGGAGGCGGAGCGGGGCCGCTCCTGACCCTAAAATATTCCCAAAATTCCCATTTTTCTGCAGGCAGAGAGACGCGATCTGCAGGAATCCTTCGGGCAATCCTCGGAGCGAGAGCAGGAGCTGCTCCTCACCCAAAGATCGCTCGAATCGCGGCTGGAGGAGGCGGAGCGGGGCCGGGCGCGGCTGCAGCGGGAGCAGCGCGATTTGGGAGCGGAGCTCCACGAACGCGAGCAGCGGCACCAGGAGCAGCTCCGGCGATCGCAAAATGAGCTCCAGGACAGCAAACAGCTGCTGGAGCGCACCACCGAGAAACTCAGCAAAGAGGTGAGGGGAAATGCCGGGAAATTTGGGGGTTTT